AATTTAAAAACAAAGTACTTTGAAATAAAAAATTTCTTAGCACCTTCCTCTTCGACTTTGTACTTACTCTCTAATGCATTCTAAATTTCCTTTGCGAAAGAAGTATTGGTGTAGAGATCATACAACCTTTCAGATAGCGTGTTGAGAATATGGCCACGATATATGAATTCATCCTCTTGGCACTTTTTTCTTTCTGCTTTTGTGGCTTCAGTTTCTCCATTTGTTGGTTCCAGATGCGACGCCAATTTTGGGTCAAGAATTTAAAATATCTTCAACGCCATTAGTAGAAACTTCAATTTGTCTTGTCATCTCGTAAAATTGGTGCCATCAAAGCAATCTAGTCTAACAAGATCTTGATTCATCAATATGATTGTCGCCGTAGTGGTCTCGTTCTCCATTGTGCAAAAATATCGCTTGAAATTGATGGAAATATTTCACAACCAAGAAAGAGAATGGAGAAGAAACAAATTATAAAATCAAGAAATTAACAAAAAGATGAAGGTTCAAACACGGTATCGTTGTCCTCAAAAGATATTTGCTCCCTCTCGAATTGAAATTAGATGCTTCAAGGGATCTTGACAAATGGTTTGCAGGATATTATCAAACTTTGAAGAAGATTAACACCAATCACAAGGGAGGAACTTTGAATATAGAATAGAACAAGATTTTGATCTTTGTTTTGTGGAAATAAATTTTGATATCAAGTGTTTTTCATTATATGACATTGAACATTGATCACCTATAGGCCTTGACCAGTTCCCACAACATTGTGCCAAAGTTATAACAAAAAGCCACCAAAATTTGAATTAAAATGGTCATCAACGGCTATTTTTTATCACTATGCGATCGCATAGTGTAAATGCATGCAAAAAGGCCGTGCATGCACCCAATGCGACTGCATGCCTCTGCATAGGCCAAAACTTGCCCTTTATTTCCATTTTATTCCACAAACGTCACTCGCCGATTTTAATCAATAATTCTCATTAGAAATAAAATGCAGAACCAGCATAAGCGAGAGCTAAGCTGTCAACTCGGGAAGTATAACAATGACAAATTTTATTGAAATACTCGAGATGGTGCACCACGTCACTCCTATTCTCTCTATTAATGAGCTACACGAGTTTCATTCTCTTATTCATTGTCGTCCTTTGGCTCGAGTTGAGATTTTTCAGGTCGACGACATTAAGTGATTAATCTTAAATCTTCAACTGTGACATGTCACATTAATTCATTGATAGATACTAAATTTAATTCAAATATTGAGGTTCATCAAAACTTTATACACAAATGAATTTATATAACATGTTACTAGCGATTACCATAAGATAAGTTGATTAAAAGTCATAAAAATTAATGCACAATGAAATCGTCATGGACCACGATTGAAAGTGATCAATCTTTGTTGGAGGGTACCGCACAAGGAAATCATTGTTAAAATTGATTAAAAGTCATACAAATAAATGCGCAAAATGCGGGAGAATGATCAGTTTTGTACCTTTTAACAACCGTGTTGTAAGCCATGTAATGGAATTACCTAAGTAAACACAGCTTTCTCTTAAATTAATGGTCAAAGTTTTAGAGATGAGAAAAGAACATTGCCGAAAAGAAGAAATATTAGCAAAAGGTATAACATGCTTTGCTTCACATCATCAGCTATTAAGACTTTAGTTTTGACTCCCCCACCCACATTTTTTGTTGATTTGACATTTACAAATGGAGGGAGGGAACATGTAGTTGGACTTTAAAAAAAAATATCTATGGAACAAAAAGTAAATTAATAAATCATTAACCATAACCTTTTTTGGTTAAATGCATTGAAGGTCACTTGACTTTGAGCATAGTTGCATTAGGGTCATTTATCTTTAATTTGGTACAATCAAATCATCCGACTATAATTTGCTTGGAAATATGATCAGTCCATCTATTTCGCCCTCAGTTTAACCATAATATGTCGATTGGACGTTAAAATTAAAGGGTAGCTGACATGTATGTCCACCTTATACAAGAAATCACCTATCTTAGAACAAACACTTCATGAAAAATCATATGAATCTAACATATGTTGTTACACGTTAGTTATCCATTAGTTATGTTAGCATATTACGTTACTTGAATTGACGACACGGGGACAAAGTGACTAGACATGCAAGCAAATCAAAGTTGAGTGACTAACTGTACCAAACTGAAGATGAATAACGATATTTGCAAGAAAACAGAAACTGAGTGACCGCAAGCAAATCAAAGTTGAGTGACTAACTGCACAAAATTGAAGATGAGTGATGAGATTTGCAAGAAAATAGAAATTGAGTATTGCACCAAATTGAAGATGAGTAACCAAATTAGCAACTCCGCTATAACTCGACCATACTTCTTGTTGATTACCTCCTTCTTATATGCATATCAATCACTTAAAACTTATAATTCTCTTCATATCTAATAAGAAATTCGTTGCTAATAAGGATATATAACTGTTGTAGAATCATTTATCACACTAATTTATTCATGAGAGATTAATTATCGCAACAAGACTTAACATTTACTTCCATTCATATTTAAGTCAAAATACATTGCATCTCAAGATTATTTAATTACTAGTGTTATATCTTAATCTACAAATATCAATCATCGAAGAATTTCGACCCTAACACAAGAGGACACGGATTATGGCAAAAATATACATAGAATAAGGCCATTTTCAACACACATTATAGTAATAATACAAAACAAAGGTTGTCTATATGGGTGGAGCATACTTTAGAAGGTTAGTTAGACTAAAAACATTTTTTAACTCTTTGAAATGGAATAAAGAAAAAAGTGTAACATGGTCCTCAATTAAAAGTAGGTAATGATGAAAATGAAATTATGGTAACATGCTGTGCTTTACTACACTACAAAGAATGGAAGAATCCTATTATTCCTTCGCAATTCTCTTATAAGACACAAGTTCTTGAAACAGTTAGTATCATCCTTACTTGTAAAAAATGCAAAATCTGCTGCATTTTCATGTCATATTATTATCTATATCTTTCTTTTCAATTCTGGCCTTTTCATTCAGCCAAAACCAGCAATACAATGAAGCAAAGAACTTTGAAGGATCATCTGATCTTGTGAATCTTGAATACCACATGGGGCCAGTTCTTGCATCTTCTATCGATCTTTACATTATATGGTATGGCAGATGGAACCCAAAACATCAATCTACCATAAGGGATTTCCTTCACTCTTTTTCTTTTCCGGCACCATATCCATCCGTGGCTGATTGGTGGCGCACAGTAAGGCTGTACACCGATCAAACAGGCTCGAATATCACCAATAACATCAATCTCTCTGGTGAATTTTATGACTTTAAGTACTCTCACGGTAGGTATCTTAGTCGATTATCGATGCAATCTGTTATCAAAAATGCGGTTACGGTCTATCCAGGAACATTGCCTCTCAATTATCATAATGGACTGTATTTGATACTGACTTCTGATGATGTACAAGTTCAAGATTTTTGTAGGGCAGTTTGTGGTTTCCATTATTTCACATTCCCATCTGTTGTTGGGGTGACTGTTCCTTATGCGTGGATTGGCCATAGTGGCACTCAATGCCCTGGCATGTGTGCCTATCCCTTCGCTTGGCCCACATACTCGGGGAGGCCACCACCGCGCACTAATGGGGGCAACAATATAATGAGTGCACCCAATGGTGATGTGGGCACAGATGGAATGATCAGTGTGATCGCACATGAGTTAGCAGAAGTATCAAGCAACCCACTCGTTAATGCGTGGTACGCCGGGGATGACCCGACTGCTCCTACTGAAATAGCTGATTTGTGTTTAGGTGTGTATGGGACTGGTGGAGGTGGAGGTTATGTGGGAGTTGTGTACAAGGACTCTTGGGGGAATGGGTACAATTTGAATGGAGTGAAGGGAAGAAAGTTCATGGTGCAATGGGTGTGGAACCCTGTAAAAAGGAGATGCTTTGGACCCAATGCCTTGGATTAGGAAGTAGGAGTCATACTGAATATTGTGTAATTGCTACATATTGGTCATTATTTCTCTTCTAAGTGTTGTCTTCTCGTTATTATATGTTTGGTAATATAGATTACATAATACTAAGTAATATTAAATAAAAGAATAAGTTGAATATTATCTATTATATTGTTCACTACGATCCACTACTGCATGCCAAACGTGCACGAGCATCTGGAAGCAACAATCACTTTAGCCTAAAGGATAAGATAATAGCAAAAAGTGTTCTAAGAATAACAATAGGCCCAATATTCCAAAAAACAAAAAAAAGGGTTCACAGGAATATTCTCGCATGTCGTGTTATTCTAGTAAATGTACAAAAATGAAAGCAATTCACCAGATTTCATCATCAATTCCTCAACTGCATATCAATCTTCGGAAAAAAGTGACTTGGGTTACAAAAAAAAGGAAACAAGTTTATGCAGCACTCGTTCCATTTTAATTGATAAAATTTTCTCACAAATTCTACAAAACTCCAAAGGCAGCTCTAACTCTGCTTTGATGTTAAGGGAGTTGTCTGATCTAAGAAAAAATAAAAGACGAATCAATAAAGGAAAGCTTACTTTGCAACAATAAAGTTGTTCATTGAAACATGTAAAGAGGGAATGGAAGTGACACAACCTTCCGATGAAGTGAAAAAAGATGTATACATACTGATACTGTACAGATGCCCCATTTGATCGACTCTTGGAGTTTCCATTTTTGGAGGCTATTACATCTCCTAGGTCTGATGAGAAGAAAACGTTATGCCTTTGGACAACAATTTGTCAAAAAGAGGGATCATTCTAAGTATTACAACATATCTGAGCAATGAATACAATGCTGGTTAAGAAGCCTGAAAACAAGGCTGTCGGGCTCTGGAATCAGAGCCGAGGTTAAGCTGTTCCAGAAATGAAAGGTCACTGACTTGTCTAGAATTATGTTGAACATAACATCTTGTTCAAGTCTTTCAGTTTCTGTCTGTGGTGCATAGAAGTATCTGTCAATTCATTTGATCGACTCTTGGAGTTTCCATTTTGGGAGGCTATTACATCTCCTAGGTCTGATGAGAAGAAAACGTTATGCCTTTGGACAACAATTTGTCAAAAAGAGGGATCATTCTAAGTATTACAACATATCTGAGCAATGAATACAATGCTGGTTAAGAAGCCTGAAAACAAGGCTGTCGGGCTCTGGAATCAGAGCCGAGGTTAAGCTGTTCCAGAAATGAAAGGTCACTGACTTGTCTAGAATTATGTTGAACATAACATCTTGTTCAAGTCTTTCAGTTTCTGTCTGTGGTGCATAGAAGTATCTGTCAATAAAGGATATGATATTAGCTCTCTTTCGGAGATAACAAGAGGAAAGAACTCAAACCAAGATTGCACATGCAAGAATATGGGATAGAACCTCAATTAGCAAACTATTAACCTAAAGAATTTGATGAATGTATAAGAAAATGTTCTAGTTCAGCTCTAATGCCATTCTTCAATGTTCTGAAGATATGAAAATATTCCAATTCTATTGCATCCAACTGTAACACAATAGTACCCCATTAGCAGAAAATAGGTTGTACTCGCCCAAAACTCGTCTTGACACAGACTTCTTCAGAGATATATTGACATAAGTTTCAAGGGCTAGACATAATAAATTCATTATTTGTAGATTCAAGAGATTCCGATTGTAGAATTAGGAAACTGGTCTGAATCCCCTCGAGTTGTTCTGAACAATAAATACTTCCAAGTGCTCGTATTTGATTTTCAAATTCAAATATACATTTGGTCAAAGAAATGCGTTGTAATCATTTATTTAACTTTAAATTTCCATGGAAATGTTAAATGCACCAAACACTCTATTGCACGGTTAGTTTCGATTTTAATACCAAATTTCTGATATAGTTGCTCTCCGACCACCAAAACACTGAATACGTCTCCTAGAATAAAGAAGCACTATGCCAAGAAGAGATCAAAATATACCTTGAAATACTAGAGCGATTAATGGGGAAAAAAAGGGATTGCGTCTGCAACTGGAGATCCATCTTCGCTTCAGAAATATCCTTGTTGCTCAAAAATTTGTCAGCCACTCTAGTCAAAAGATCAGCCCCATTCAACCTCAAACGGGTGTCATCATATGATCCATAAAACTCTGTTAAGCACTCCATAATGAAAGGACTGGAGAGAATATGACATGAGTTAGTATTGGGGGCGCAGGAAGTTTCTAATTATTGTGCAATTGCCAGACAAAACAGTAATTTTCTAGGAAATTGGTGAGAATCTAATCTTTGCCCTCCCAAACTTTGCCAAAATTCAAATTTAAGCACCCTCACCAAAAGGAAAGAGAAAAAAAACACAGCAAAATTTGGCCTAATCTTGTCACCACCCCTGGCCATAAGTTCAGCTTCACTTACTACATCTATTTTGCTTCTAAGTTGTCCAAAGTAAGCTGGTTTTACAAAATACCAATGGCATTTCCTTCCAAATTTAATGGTTGTTCACACTTACCAAGGACATTTAGAGCATGTTTGAGAATAATTTTTGAAATCATTTTTCCCCAAATCATTTTCAACCACACGTTCCATGGGACACATAATCTTTCCCTAATTTTTAACCACACAATCTCCCAAAAAAAATAAAATATAATAATAATAAATTCATTTTCCACTTGGAAAGACCTCTCCAAACAAACTCTTAAATTAAACGGCAATAAAGAGAAGGAAAATGTACTTGCTCACATAGAACTCCAGAGAAAAGATTGTTTACCATTAAGAGATGTTATTTCAGAAAGGCATATTATATATTAAATTTATTTATATACAATTGATGATTGCTAGTCTTAATGAACAAATCGCGTGAAAGATGACAACAATTCAAAAAAAAATCCTTTCCTGTTCTTTTTACCCCACATTTAAAGAGTAAAAGGGTGACAATGGTATATAAATTAAAAGCCAATGCATATCCCAACTTCCCATGACATTGGTATCTCAGTAAAGAATGGTTTAAAGAAAATAACTATTATATAACTGTAAGCATGAATAAGACTCAATGGCAAAAACACCATTTGCAGCAGACATGCAATGCTAATTGTCACGGACCTAGTTTTGTTACACCCGAACAATTAGAACAGTGCGGCCTTAACTTTCAACAATTCCCGTCCATCATGAGAAAATTTAGGTATGCATTTTCACTCTCACAAATAATTTAACCAATGAGGCTAAATTATAATAACTTGGAGTAGAGGATTTTGAAGTAAGAAATATATGGAAAATAAATAAGGTTTGGAGATCTTTCTTTATATAGAAATAAAAGAAAAAAAACTTTACAATCTCTCTAAAGTATAAACTCACTTCACTTTATATAATTTACAAATGAGACTACATCTCTATTTATAGGCGAAAACCTTGCAAGTTGCATTGGAATCAATGGCGAAAATTAATTTTGATCCAGGGGTCCTCATTGGTGACAAGTTGCATTAACCTCCTTTGATCAAGTTGCATGTTCTCATTGGAGATCAAGTACTTGTTAAAGTGTTGCCTCAACAATTTAAAGCCTACCGCAAAGTTCATAAAGATTTGGCTAGAAAGTATGAAGCCAAAAAATAATAACGCCATACCCGTAGGCAATGCACAATCGCCGTTATTTCTTTTTCCTGCACCTTGTAGTGCCACTCCGTATTATTCAACTTATGGCTTTCAAAGGCAATGGGATGACCTTCTTGCATGAGTACACCTCCAGTGGCAAAATCCGATATATTCATTTGAACTTCAAAGCTTTTGTTGAAATCCCACAATGCTAACACTAGCTCCGTCGTGACCGTAGCCTTTAAATCATCAAAACTCTTTGAAATTTCACAAACCATTCCCATCCTTGGGACTTTTTAAGCAAGTCAGTTAATGGAGCCGTTCTACATAAGTAGCCTTAAATGAAACGTTGATAGTAATTCACCAATTCAAGGAAAGACCACAACTCAATCACTTTAGTGGGTAGTTCCACTCATTGATTGCTTTTATTTTGGCTCCATCCATGCACAACCGACCATATCCGATGACTCTTTGAAATTTCACAAACCATTCCCATCCTTGGGACTTTTTAAGCAAGTCAGTTAATGGAGCCGTTCTACATAAGTAGCCTTAAATGAAACGTTGATAGTAATTCACCAATTCAAGGAAAGACCGCAACTCAATCACTTTAGTGGGTAGTTCCACTCATTGATTGCTTTTATTTTGGCTCCATCCATGCACAACCGACCATATCCGATGATATGCCCCAAGAAATTCACCTCTTCTTTGGCAAATGAACATTTCTCCTTTTTGATGAACAACTCATTTTCCCACAACACTTCGAAGATAATTTTCAAGTGCTCAACATGTTTCTTCGACATGTTGCTATATATGACAATATCATAAAGATAAACCACCACGAACTTATCCAAGTATAGATAAAATATCTTGTTTATCAAGGTGCAAAATGTGGCCGGGGCATTTGTCAAACCGAATGGCGTGACAAGCCATTCATAGGAATCATACCGAGTAACACATGTAGTTTTAGGCTCACCTTCCCCTGCAATTCGAACTTGATAATAGCCTTTTTGCAAATCAACATTTGTGTAGAATTTAGCACTACCAAGCCGATCAAATAAATTTGCAATCAATGGAATAGGATACTTGTTTTTCATCGTCACCTTGTTTAATCCTTGGTAGTCAACACACATCCGCAGAGTCCCATCCGACTTCTTTTGGAACATCAGGGCACCGTAGGGTGCTTTGGATGATCTAATCATTTCCATCTCAACAACCTCCATTAATTGTTTCCGAAGCTCCCTCAACTTCGAGGGTGCCATGCGATAGGGTGCCATGAATGGAGATTTGGCACAGGTCTCCAACTCGATGCGATGGTCCACTTTCCTCTTAGGCGAAAGTTTTTTTGACAACTCCGCGGGCATAACGTCCTTATTTTCATCAAGGACTTTGGCAATAACATCCAACAAATCATCATCATTAGTAGTGACTTCGGCTGCAACCGATGATTGGGCAATAAATGTCTGCTCACCTTTCATCCATCATTTTGCTAATTGCATAGCTGAAAGTTGTCCCACTTCTGTTCGCATGGAAACAATAGGAACCATGCATGACGATCCCTCATCCAAAATGCACATAGAACCAAAGGAAGGCACAAGAATTGCACTAACCTTCCTCAAGAACTCCAAACCCAACACTTGCTTGAAATCATCCATCAATGCCAGGAAAATATCAACGGGTCCATACTACAAACCCAGCCGTAGTTTAGCCCCTTGAACTACTCCAGTTAGTAGCCTTGCGATTGCATTCACCGTCTTAACAATCCACCTCCATGGTGAACGTTCAATCCTAACCTCCGTACTTCATCCTCCGTGATGAAATTGTGTGTGGCTCCTGTATCAACTAATACCCGTGTTTGCCATCCATTAATTCAGTAAATACGAACATCAACCCTTTTTCTCCATTCGTCCCCGAAACGGTTTTGGCATTCAAAGCATTGAAAAGTTGCAATGAACCTATGTGACTTGCACCCTCCTTGTCGTGGGAATCCTCCGATTGAGTCTCCGTGATGGATGCCAAAGATCCAAGCTTAGGCAATCTTGCATGAGATGTAGCCCTTTGCAAACGAAGCAACTATGAGGAGCAAAATTACCCCTCTTCTTGTCATCATACTCCTTGCGCCAAGTAACTTGCTTGTTGCCATCGGGCTTGTAATCAACTTCGAGATTTGGCCTCCAATCTGACTTACTTCATTGCTTGTCTTTTCTCACATCACCTCCGTCGTTGCCAATATTTTCTTTGGTTAGTTTGAAAGTCCTTGCTTGTGACTCTGTACTCCTTTAAAGATTCAGCAACCGCAATTGCCTCATCTACGCTTTTTACCCCACGACATTGTAATTCTTGCCGCACCTATGTTGTACATCCATCTAAGAAATAGAATAGCAAGACATCCTCCTGCATGCTCGAGATTTGAAGGATAAAGGTTGTGAATTCTTTTACATAGTCACGAATTGTCCCCTTTTTGTTTAAATTCCGTTAGTTTCTTGTGGACTTCGTACACAACATTCTCCGGGTAAAATTGCCCTCTTGGCTCCTTTTTGAAATCGTCCCATGCTTCAGACACACCAAAGAGATGCGGTGTCGAAAAGATACGTAGCAACAGTACGAACTGTCGTCGCTTCATCAACAAGATTTATGCCTTCAAAATAAACTTCCATTTGTAATGGAAAGTTTTCTACGTCTTTGGCATCTTGTCACCCATCATAATGTTTAGGATTAGAGTGCCCAATCCTTGGGGCAACAACAGTTGAAGCGGCACCTCTGCTTGTGCAAGTTGTAGATTGGTTGTATTGCTCGAACTCCTTGCTCATCCTTTCTATCATCATGGCCAATTGGTTCACTTGTTCTTGCATGGCGCAAACGATATCTCAGACTTTGGTTTGGAGACGACAAAATTGTCCATCACCGCGGCTTGTCCGACTACCATAACCTACACATCATCTTTCATCGTTTGGACATCATTTTCCAACGATGCTCGTGTGTCCATGGCCTCTTGGACATTGGTTTGGAGATTTCTAGCTTTTCAATAGCGTGGCCCTCCAACGCCTCAAAGGAATTTTCAAGAGATTCGACCCAATTACTCAGATTTGCGATGATTTGGTCAATTTTACCCTCCACGGCAATTGTCTCCTGAGTCTTACTTTTTCCTCTTGTTTTCTTTACTTCAATTGGGGCAGCACCTCGTCCCCATCTCAACCTCAATATCAACAGTTTGTTGAGAATCCGATATTATAATGGCCTACAAACGACGCTTTGATACCACTTGTCACAAGCCTAGTTTTGCTACACCTCGAACAACTAGAATCGTGCGGCCTTAACGTTTAACAATTCTCGTTCCTCATGAGAAAATGTTAAGTCAGTCTTTCCACGCTCACAAATAATTTAACCACCGAGGCTAAATTATAACAATTTAGAATGAAGGATTTTGAAGTAGGAAATATATAGAAAATAAGTAAGGTTGGGAGAACTTTCTTTGTATATAAATAAAAGGGAAAACTTTAAAATCTTTTTAAAGTATAAAACTCACTTCGCCCCATATGATTTACAAATTAGACTATAGCTCTATTTATAGGCAAAACCTTGCAAGTTGCCTTGAAATCAATGGCAAAAATAAATTTTGATCCAAAGGTCCTCATTGGTGGAAAGATGCATTAACCTCCTTCGATCAAGTTGCATATTCTCTACACTTCCAATGCAAGTTGTAAGTAACTTTCCAACTCATGCTAGCTGGCATCAAGTGGCAAATTTCTAGAATATTCCTTACAAGCAGAGAAAGTTAATTTCATAGTGCCAACTTGAATTTTGCTTCCACCATGGCATTATCTTGCAAGTGACACAAGTGGGACAAGTGGCATAAGTTGCACAAGCGGACAAGTTGTACAAGTTGCCCACTTGCATCCCCAAAACATCCGACTACAGGCCATTGTATTTTTCCTCCCAAAATGGCTAGTTTGGACTTAGAAAAATCTCATTTCCATGCTGGAAAGCTGCCTACGTCCACTGTCACAAGCTGTTTCGTCTTGCTGAAGCACACTGCCCGTGCTGGTTTGCGGCCACTGTCGGGACAGATCGGCTGCGACCTAGGAGACTTAATGGTGGTGATGAAAGAGCATACTACTTTTTTTCATTTTCCTCGTTACTGAACCATCACAACGAAGGTATACTGATTGAGCGACTTGGGAAAAAATTAAAAAATAATAAATAAAAACTGTATAAAGAAAACTGGCAGACCCAAATTATACATCTGTAATTGTGGTAGCATGCACACATAGGAGCAATTTTTGTTACAGAGAAGTAGAAAAATAGTTAACCAACAAGGGAAGCAGATTTGAAGTTTTAAAGTACCTGTGCTTTCTAAATGCCATCACAGCACCATTCAATGTTCTTCCAGCGAGCTCATCCTCCAGGCCAACTGTATTATTGAGTGAAGACAACGGCTTCAGTACTATGATGTCAGAATCAAGATAGATTCCACCATATCTAGAGAACACAAAAACTGATCAATGACGAACACATACAAAGTGAATCAATGCAATACAGCTAAAAAAATCCCCCCCCCCCCAGATTTGAAGTTTTAAAGTACCTGTGCTTTCTAAATGCCATCACAGCACCATTCAATGTTCTTCCAGCGAGCTCATCCTCCAGGCCAACTGTATTATTGAGTGAAGACAACGGCTTCAGTACTATGATGTCAGAATCAAGATAGATTCCACCATATCTAGAGAACACAAAAACTGATCAATGACGAACACATACAAAGTGAATCAATGCAATACAGCTAAAAAAATCCCCCCCCCCCCCCCCCCCCCCCCCCCCCCCCCCCCCCCCCCCCCCCCCCCCCCACACCACCCACTAACATTCTTTGCTTGCTTACTTGTAGAGAGCAGCAAGCCTGACAAGTTCACTGTAGTGAGTGGGATAGTACTTGGTCTTCTTCCATTCATGCCAGACAGAAGCAAATATGTGTGTTGGCGTATCCTTGAGCAACTCATCTAGATTTGGCATCACAACAGCGACCTTAAATCTGGAAAAAGCACAACAATCTATACTCCTCAAATTCATTCACTTCATATTATTCAAAAGCAGATCATAAGTTGGAACCTATCAAACCAATACGAGACACAAATACACATCTAAGGCTCATCTTTTGCAATAACAATAATGAACAGATTGCACATAGCAACGACTTATTGCCCTTATTCATCCTTTTAATATCAATCAAAGTTAAGATAATCAGACATCAGAACAAAAAATCCTACATGATTGAAAGCTGCTTCATAGAATGAAAATGCCATAGCAACACAAACAATGTCTACAGTAATATTGAAGGTCCATGGTTCAACTGAAATTGCTTAAATATGCAAACCCTTACATGGACACATAGACTTGAAGATCTATAGACAAAAGGTACAATCTTAAATAGAGAAATGTAGAAAACATATTCAAGAAATTACCCATCTTTCAGAAACCCATTGAAGAAATTCAGCTCAATTGTCTCAGAGAACACCACCACACAGGCATTTCTGTTGTGATAAAGAAGGCTCTCCAATCCTCTCTGCTGCCGAACACCAAACATCCAAGCCGGCGAATTCCAGACCATAAAAATCTTCAGCATACACCTCCCTCTCCTGAAAAATTCCTCCATAAAATCTCCAAAGGACAACCTCCCGTCCAAACCCGGATAATATCCCCACCTCTTCCCATCCGCATAAATCACTTTCTCTAAACCCTCACGACTCTTCACACCGCTACCATTATTTTTACCCAAAGTCTTTCTCTCCACCCTCCTCATTTCCCTGTCATCACTATTAAAATTTTCACCTAAATCTCCCTTTCTTGAGTCAGAAATTGACAGAGGCTTCTTAACCAAGAACGGGGTTTTCTTAAATTCGTTTAAAATACTCTTTTGAATAATTTTATCGCCTCTAGTCAATACTGTAATTCCCACCCCATCAGGATCCTGCAAAATTGGATTATTCAACGGATTTAAAACCTCGATATTTGACTTGAACATCCGATCTCTCCTCAAGAAATCACCCTTCTTATCAAACCATTCCCCCCATCCTTCCCTTAAAACCGATCCTTTCAATAACAAAGCATCCTCCATTTTTTTAACTTCACTCAATTTATTACGCAATTTTTCATCCACTAAAATGTCGTCAGATCCATAGACAGCCTTAGAATTATCACTATCCAGACCTAAATCTGACCTAAGCTTTGAATTGAACGGAACGTAGTCTTCCCATTCTTCAATTGAACGTTTGTTGTAGGATCTCCGTACAACGCCTGTTATGGGATCGAAGAAGTAATTAGAAGAGACCCCAGAGTTTTGATTTTGATTGCTTTCGTCATCTTCGTCTTCCGGTTCTGCTTCATCGTTATTGTTGTTAATGTTGATGTCTAAAGCGGCATCGTCGAGCTCGTCTATTCGATCGTCATTGGATCTTGAGGTGGTGAGGGAGTAGGAATCTAGGTCATCGAGGAGCGGGTTCAAGGAGAGGGAGTCTTGGGAAAGAGGGCGGTGTTGGGGGTGGGATTGGGAGTTGAAGAAGGAGAGGCGGCTGTGGAGGAGAGAAACAGATAAGAGAAGAAGGATGGCGGCAAGTAGGGCGCAGATATGGGCGCCATAGCGGGGCCGCCGCCGTGTGCGGAGGTGCCGTAGCATGTGAGCGTGGTGGCGGAATGTACAGTGGGGAAGTGTTTTTGAGGTTTCTAACCGTCAACCGTAACACGTGATAAATACCACTGGAAGCCTGTCTCCAAGGCGGAGAAGTGGTACGGCGTGTAAATCTTTTGAAATGTGTAAACAAAAAATAATTTGAATATTTATAAATAATTCTAAAAATATGAGCCAAAAACAGATATATATTTTATGGAAAAGTCTACTTGTACATAATTTTATAAATAGTGTTTACACAATCACACCTCTCACACGGGATGGGACCTGCGTCGCGTGAAAAGTGTGGATATCTCTATGTACAAAAATTATGTACATCTAACAAAATTAGATTTTATTATGTTATCGTTGACATACCGTATGAGAGGGCGGTTGTTAAAGACACACTTGGACTATAGCAACTGGAAACAAGAAGTGGATGAGGACGTATGCAAGTTTACAAACGAGGCAATAGGAGATATATGAAGTTAACCACTTTGAATTTTATCATTCATGAAGTGTACATTAATCTCGATATGCTTCATTCGAGAATGGAAAACTAGATTAGAACATAAGTAGGCAATGCTAATGTTATCATGATAAATTTTAATGTGATGAATGAGGATCTCTCAATTTCAAGAACAGGCTTTAGTCAAAGTATATCAAAGGCAGTGTTTGCAACATTAAAATCTTAGACTTGAGCAGATGAACGGGCAGTAGACTGTGTCTAGTGAGATAACCAAGCCATGTGATTGTGATTAAAACAAACAATGTGAGTTCCAACACTAGTCCGATCATCGGTATTCAATGCCCAATTTGTAGGGATGGCAATAGGGGGATTGAGGCAGGCATTTTCTGTCATCCTTCCCGTTGATAAAAAACTTATATCTTGAAATGAACTTCAATCATATCAATAAGCTATTTAAGATATCATGCATTCCTCTACAAATACGAGGAAAGCAAGAGTTCTATTATTTTATAACGCTATTCTTTTATTTTTGTGTGATGAAAAATTTATATCTTAAAATGGACTTTAGTCATACCAAGATAAGCTATCTATTCCTCTACAAATACGAGGAAAGCAAGAGTTCTATCATTTTATAATGCTATTCTTTTATTTTTGTGTGATGAAAAATTTATATCTTGAAATGGACTTTAATCATACCAAGATAAGCTATCTATTCCTCTACAAATACGAGGAAATCTAGAGTTCTATTATTTTATAACGCTATCAATAATAACAATATCACAAAATGCAATTTCACCGTTCGAAGAAACGTCCCTTAAAAAGAGCTACCATACAAGGGTGGAGTTTGGGTTAGGCCTAATATATATCATCGCGTGAACATGGCATAGCCCAATGGATATTTGATCAGGCGGACAAGATTAGGGATAAACAAAAGACCTAGCAACAAGTCAAATCAAAATCAAAATAGCAGTCTTGAAACTGTTAATTTGGTTTCATGGGGACTTGTCAACATTTCGGTTCAAAACCAAACCAAATTGCTTAGAAAGAGGTGGAGGTTTCAATAATTAAAAATCATTAGAAATGGGTGGCTGACTATTTATCTCTTGGTTAGAGGGAGATGCTTTCAATTCTAGTGAGAGAAAGTCACACATGAATGCCTTGATTTCTTGAGTTTTTTCTTTGTGTTATGTTTGATTTTTACTTCATCTTAGTGAAAATCGAATTTAGCATTTTCCTTTTCAGTTTGGTTTGCTCATATTTGAGTTTTGGTGAAATATTTTCTGGTCTCGGTCATCTTCTTTACGGTTCCAACTTTGGACATAGCTGTTGGTTCGTTTTTGCAGCTTCGGGTTTCAGGTTTCGTGGTCAGTTCCTCCACTAATTTTGATTTGCTAAGGTAGGTTGTGGCCGGTTGTAATGTTCTACTCGATTATTGCTTCTACTCCCACTCTTAGTCTTGCTTGCTGGAAACAGTTTTCATATTGTGGTTTTCTTCCAGCTTATTTTTGCTGGAGTTTGTTCCTCTACTTGTTTGGGTGTTGCTGGTTTTCTTTGGTTTCAGTTTCTCCGAGACGTGAACAATTTTGGAATATGAATGCCTTGGGCAAAATTGTGTCAAAGGTTGGGAAACCCATTTCAACCGATAAAATTACGGCAATTAGAGGCGACTTTCCTATGCAAGAGCTTTTGTTAAAATTGATGCTTCTATCGAACTTGTGCGGGAGGTTAAGATTAGACTTTCAAATGGAACGTTAAGGGAACAAGAAATTATTTTTGAACATGAACCAAAATTTTGCGGTTCTTGTAAAATTTTCGGTCATAGTTCTCTTGAATGCAATTTAAAACATGGAGGGGCGGACAAAGGTAAGGCCAGAATTGGGGTATCTACTAATATTCAAACTCGGGATGCTCATGGGACTAAAAAGCTAGCTGGAAAATTAGCTGCAAACTCACAGCCCACTTCAGCTCAATCGACAGATTGTGGGAAAGAAACTAGACAGCAATCTGGGATTTTTGTTGAGCAACAAAGGCAGCCTCTTAACCAAAATTCAGAGCACCCAAGTGATGTCCATTGAGCCCAAATTATGGAGATCGGAGAAGAGCTGTTTGTGGAGGTTGTTAGCAAGAAAAATCGGAGAGCTCATGTAAAGAATAATGCACGTTCTTTAGCACCTATTTCTATGGTAGATTCTTCAGCAAATGTCAATGAAGCAGAACCAAAAAAAATTGGAAATGAAAAGCTCAAAGGTATTGTTGTTGAGCAAAGAAAACTGATTACAAAATTTGGCAAGAAGAAGGGTACATCCCTTGCTTCAACGTCATGAAGCTTGCATTTTGGAATATTAGGGGTATGAATTCACCCCTTAAACAAAATGGAATTCGTGAATTTATCAAGCAACGTTGCATTGATATTATGGGTATTTTGGAAACAAAGTTGGGGGATCAAAAATTGATGAGAATTTTGAGGAATAAGTTCGATGGCTTCATGTATGTCAACAATTTTGGAACTCATAGAGCCGGACGGATCTTGATTTTGTGGAATCCATCCAAAGCATTTTTGGATGTGATGGAGGTTTATCCGCAAATCATTCATTGTAAAGCTACTTGCAAGGTAACATCTTATACCTTTCTTGTTAGTTTTGTTTATGGATTTCATACCGTGGTTAACCGGAGGCCACTTTGGAATAACATTATGGAGTTCAACGCTAGTATCTCATCACCATGGTTGATTCTTGGTGACTACAACAATGTTCTTAAATTTGATGAGAAATGTAATGGGGCGGATGTTACCCCTTATGAAATCAAGGATCTTAAAAATTGTTGCCTTCATGAAGGTCTAATGGATATGTGGTCTATTGGTTGTTATTACACATGGACTGATGGTTCGGTTTGGAACAAAATTGATAGGGCAATGATCAATGATATTTGGGTGCAAAATGGGGCATATGTTGTTGCAAATTTTCTACCCTCCAGTTGTCTTTCTGAACATTCCCCTTGCGTTGTTTCCGTTCATGACCGTGTTGGGGGCGGAAAAAAACCTTTCGAGTTTTTCAACATGTGGACTTCCATGATATCATTCAAGCTTGTTGGATTTTTAATGTGCAGGGGACAAAACAATTTATCCTTTGCAAGCAATTGAGCAAACTAAAGGAAGATTTGAAGGAGCTTAAAATTAAGCATTTTGGGCACATTTCGACTAGGGCAAATGAGGCTAAAATTGAATTGGAGGCTGCCCAATTACAATTACATAATCAGCCCAAGAACGTGGATTTTCAACTCTTGGTTGCTAAGTTGAGAAAGAAGGTCATTGGTTTATGTGAAGCGGAAAGAAGTTTTTATTATCAAAAGACAAAATGCATCTTCCTTAAGCAAAGTGATAAATGTACAAAGTTTTTTCACTCGGTGGTCAAAATGAACTCTAGGAGGAATTTCATTGCTTCTATTCTTAAAGAGGACGGGATGTATACCACTTCACAAGACCAAGTTGCTTTGGAATTTGTAAATTTCTATACCAACTTGCTGGGTAAATATGAGGTCGTTCGGCCGATTGACAACGACATTATTTGCAATGGGCCTTTGGTATCTTTAGAACAAGGTAATGCATTGGTTCGGGACATTTCTATTGAGGAGAACAAAGAGTCTCTTTTTGGGATTGGAGATGATAAATCTCCCGGATCGGATGGGTACACTTCATGTTTTTTCAAAAGAGCATGGGGTGTATTGAACATGATTTTGTGGAGGCTATATTATGGAATTCTTTTCATCGGGATCCATCTTTAAGCAAATCAACCATGTGGTCATTGCTTTGGTACCAAAATCTACTCATGCACCTAGTGTTGGGAATTATAGACAGATATCTTGTTGTAATGTGATCTATAAAGTGATCACAAAAATCCTTGCATCTAGATTGAGGCCTATCTTGAGAGACATTGTGGACCAAAAACAAGCCGCTTTCATTAAAGGTAGGAGCATGATGGAAAATATTCATCTTGCTCGAGAACTCATGAGACAATACAATAGAAAGAGGGTAGCTCCAAGACGTCTCCTTAAAATTGATTCAAGGAAAGCTTATGACTCGGTTAGTTGGAACTTTCTCAAAAGTGTACTTGAAGGGTTAAATTTTCCTTTGAGATTTGTTCAATGGATTATGGAATGTGTTACCACTCCAACATATTTCATTGCTTTGAATGGGAGTATGCATGGATTCTTCAAAGGCGGGAAAGGTCTTCGGCAAGGTGATCCACTTTCCTCTTTTTTGTTCATGTTTTGTCTTGAATATTTTTCTAGAATGATCAAGGATGCTAAAAATTATAGTGAATTTAGTTATTACCCGAAATGTGGTCTCCGTAAGATAACCCATTTGGCTTTTACGAATGACTTGTTGCTCTTTGCAAAGGGAGATGCTATGTCTGTGGAAATTCTCATGAATTGCCTTAACAAGTTTGGTTTAACGTTGGGTTTGAATATCAAAATTTTGAAATCCAGCTTATAAACAGCTGGGATTTATGGGTATGAGCTTCAAAGAATCATGGAAATCTCAAATTTTCCGAAAGGGACTATGCCTTTGCGTTACTTAGGTATTCATCTTGCCTCGGAGAAGCTCAAAGTGAGTTCTTATGCTTCGCTCCTTGAAAAAATTGCGGCTGATATTGGAGCTTGGAATTGTTCATCCATATCTTATGCCGAAAAAATGGAACTCATTAGGGCAGTGCTTCAAGGAGTCGAATGTTTTTGGCTTTCGATCTTCCCCATCCCGACTATAATTATATCAAGGATTGTTAGCCTTTGTCAAATATTCCTTTGTGGATCAAAGAAGTCTTTGGTTGCGTAGAAGGATCTTTGCCTTCCAAAAGAGGAAGAGGGTCTTGGATTAAAGGACTTGAAGAGTTGGAATTTAGTGTTACTTGTTAAATCCCTTTGGAACATTCAACATAAAAATGTTACTTGTTAAATCCCTTTGGAACATTTAACATAAAAGGACACTCATGGATTCAGTGGGTTCATCAATTATATCTTAATGGGACTTGCATTTAGGAGGTTCGTCCTACGAAATATCATTCTCCGCCCTTCAAGAAACTACTGGAAATTAGAGACATTTTGCATGAAAAAGGTGTTGGCCAATAGATTTTAACTAATGGACAGCTTGGGGCGTCGGGTCAAATGGACCCTAGCATTATCCTTTCTCGGCATGCTAGTTTAGCCTCAAATTACCTTGCTGGGCATGCATAGAAATGGGCCAAGCTGGGCAAAATCTAGACAGTCATAGAGATAGGTAGATAGTTCGATTCGGCAGGCAGTTTCTGGGTTTTTTGGAGCAATTTCTGGGCTATTCGGCTGAGGATAAATTCAGCACAAAAATAGCCTATAATTTCTTTAGGCTTAAGGGTACATTCAAGACTTGGAGAGCCAAAGTTTGAAAACCATGAATCACTCCGAAGAATTCCTTTTTACTTTGGTTAGGGGTTCAATCTAAACTCCTAACTAAAGAAAAATTGCAATTCTTGGATATTGACCGTAATTGTGTATTTTGTGGGCATTTGGCGGAAACTTGCAACCATCTTTTCTTTAAATGTTCCTTCACATCTACATTATGGTAGAATGTTAGGCGATGGCTTGGCATCAAGAGATCTATGACAACACTTGCTAGTACTCTAAAGTGGTTGAAAAAGGAGGCCCGTGGGACTTCATGGCTAAGTAGGGCGAAGATGATTGCTCTTGTTAGCACTGTATATAACATTTGGTTAACACAGAATAGGAAGATTTTTGAAGATCTTTTGGCCAACTGGATTGCATTGTGAGACGGATCAAAACACACATATACAAAGTTATGTTCACTTCGTGTCCGAATGTCTTGATCCATTTTGAGTCTTTATCATTGGGTCATTGACTTTTTATGCATTTCACTTATTTTGTATTTCCCGGGTATGCTCGGAGTAATTGTATGTGTTAATGGACTTTTGATTGCCCGGGAATGCCCGGTGTACTTGTATATGAAACATTTCTTATCAATGATATTTACATTTACCGATAAACAAAAATCATTGGAAATTATACTTAAACTTTCACCAATCAAAAAATTACTTATTGTACCAAAAAATATGATATAGTAGTTCAAAGAAATAAGGATTTAAATCACTAACTTTGTATATGTTAATTTTAAATAACTAAAATTGTGGTTTGAAATCAAACCAAACAACATTTAAACACTTTGGTTTGTAAATAGTTCAAAAATTGTTGAAATCGAATCGTGTTCATCCCCAAATAGGATAAATGTTATACCTTAAATGTTTGAGTTGCCTAAGTGAAGAAAGAATACAACAATTTCATAATGAACAATTGAAGAAGAAAATGAACGAGAAAAAAATGGGGTTTCAAGAAGAAGAAGAATTTATGATAAGAGAAAATCAATTTAGTTCATCTAATTAAAGGAATATATTACAATGAATAAGACGACATCTTTATATACAGTGAAGAAGCTAAAATCAAAAGAATATCTAATAATCTAGAACTTTATTAAAATATTAAAAGTAATCTAATCTAATCTAAACAAATATAATTTAATTAAACTCTATTTTAAAATTCTAAATAAATAATGTCTTTATCCTTGTCTTCGTTTCTCATTGTTTCTCTTCGGTTGACAGAACTTGACTCCAACGAAATAGACTACAACTTCTTAATTAAGGAGGGCAATCTTTTCTTCTTGATCAAATAATAAAATCGATCACGTTATAACAATTGAATCTACAAATCAAGCCCAAGAGTATGATCTCACCAAGAAAGATGATCTTTGCTTTTAACCAAGTAACAATAAAGAACTTTAAAAAACGAAAGCTCATGCAACTCATGCCCAGAAGTAAATCATGCCAAATCCCATGTTAGCAGCTTCATTCCATATAATTAAACATGCACGTCATTAATTAAACTATTACAATAATTTGTATTAATTATAATGATGGCTATATTTTTCTGTAACACTAAAGTCATGCTATCAATTTAAACTCACATATGTACATGTGATACATGTGTTGCAATAATGTTTTTTTTTTTTTTTTTTTTTTTTTAGCTTTATTTGATATGCTAACATATACTCTAATCAAATAAATATATGCACATAATATATTATATTAGAACATTTATGAAATTTAATTCTATAAGCGAAAGTAGATTAAATACGAACTACCAAGATGTCTATTTAGTTGAGAGTACAACTACGTATTCTATTCTTTAGAACAAAAATATGTTTTTGTATTTGACACTACTAAAAGATAATGTTAATATAATATCATGTGTATCAACTATCGTTGAAGGGTACGAAAGAACTAGTATTATTTTATCAAATAATACAAACTTATATATTGAGGATGCACTTTATTCTAACAAATTTAAAATGAACTTTCTTAGTTTTATAAATATCTACTGCAATGGATTACATTGAGACTATGCAAAAAATAATATTAATATTTTTTTATAATTTCTCTTGTATTAGACCAGAAGCAGACAAAAGAAAAATTCAGGACACCTCCCTCGACATGTAATATATATTCATAAAAATGATTGAATCAAACACTATCACGAACCAGAAGCATCAACCTATCTTGCAAACTATTCTTGACTAGATATATATGGCATTTTCTATAAATCTCCTAGCTAGTATGATATAGTTTTACACCAATTCAAAGACATTGGAATGATGATGAACACATATTTCGTTGCCTAAGAGATACTATTGAGATTATTATATTCTTGACAATTGGGATCTTCTTTTGTGAGATATGTAAATACAGGTTATCTCAAATTCGTACTAAATCGCAAACATAATATTTGTTTACACATGATGGAGTAACTATATCATGGAGTTCTGTAAAGCAGGCCTTTCCATCAACATCTTCAAATTACTAATTATAAAGATTCTTTAAAGTTTTTCAAAGTATTAATTTTTTTTCTTTTAGAAAATTAATTTTTTTTAGTTATTTGTATGTTTCTAAATTAATGATTTTATAAACTTGTTTATTAATGACAATGGTTAATTTTCAATTTTATAGTTTTGTATATTATATGAGAAAATTTATATATTTTTTCCCTTTTTGTTATGTATAAATCATTTTTTAGTTATAGACCAAAAATTTATGTTATTATATATTCAATTCATCGTAACTAAAAATAAATTTTTCATACATAATAAGTCTATAAATAATTATTTGGTATTACACAATGAAGTAAAAAATTTGACTAATTTCTTTCAAAATATTTATAGAAACTAGTAAATAATTTATGAATTATTTATAGCAATTACATAAAAATGACAACAAAGTATTGCTTGTTCCATGGTGAGGTTTCATTCCTCTTATCCAGAGATCTAGTGTTCAAGCTAAAAAATTTATCCAGTGAACTACATTAGACAAGGTTGACGATTTTACCAAAAACTCGCTACTTCACTTGATTTTTTACTAGGTCGCTTGCATTCTTCTAATATAATCCTATCGATCTAGTTAAGGGCCTGAGCAGTTGGTTCACTAGGCCAATTAATCGGGGCGAGCCGAATTTGATAACAATAATATTACAAACTCAAAAGAGGCTATATAAAAAATGACAAGACAAAAGTATAGTTCTTAAGATTTGCACGAGCTTCAAAAGGCTAGTGATACCAATTTTTAACAAAATTTCTGAAGTAATGATGTGGTTGACTTATTCACTAAAGCATTATGGACGTCTATATTCAAGAAATCCCACACATGCACCCCATAGGTAGAAGAGATGAGCCCTCAACGCGGTGAATTACGAAGCATTGAAGGAGAAAGTCAAAAAGTTGAGTCGAAACAGCTTCACTAGAGAGGCTGTCTACCGAAGTGGATCTCTAACCTTGTTTTTCTTAAAAAAAAAAAAAACCAAATGGTGAATGGAGGATGTGCATCGATTTTTTCTGATATGAACCAAGATTGCCCCGAAAGATAGCTTCCTACTTCCAAGTATAGACCAATTTGTGGATTTTACGACAGGGTACGTGCTACTAAGCTTCATGGATGCATATTCAAGCTATAATCAGACACCATGTTCTGAGTCGACGAAGAAGATACCTTGTTTGTCATAGATAGGGGCTTATATTGCTACATGGTGATGCCCTTTGAGTTGAAAAATGCTGGGCTACCTACCAAAGGTTGGTGAATATAATGTTTGCCGACCTCATTGACAAAACCATGGATGTCTACGTGACAACATATTGGTGAAAAGCCTTAGGACAGTAGATCACATAAACGACCCAATGAATGCTTTTCAAATTTTTGAGAAATTTTAGGATGAGATCAGATCTACTAAAGTGCGCCTTTGGGATGGCATCCAATAAATATTTGGGTTACATTGTTAATTCGAGAGGAATCGAGGCTAACCCCGAAAATTTCATGGCCTTAATTGAGATGAGGCCACCTCAGAAATCTAAGGAGGTTCAGAGCCTCAATGGAAGAATTATTGCCCTTGGTCGTTTTATCTCTAAGGCCACAAACAAAAGTTTGTCATTCTTCAAGATCCTTAAATTGGGAAAAAGGTTTCAGTGGACATCGGAATGCGAGGAGGCGTTTCAAGCATTGAAAAAACACCTGGGATAGGCTCCCCTTCTGTCCAAATCAAAGCCAAACAAGCCTTTGCTACTAAGCAATTTCAGATGAAGCTATTAGTGCGGTCCTCGTGAAAGAAGATGAGATGCACCAACTATCCGTGCATTATATTAGTAAAGCCCTATTGCCGACAGAGACTCACTATCCAGATATGGAAATGTTCGTGCTCTCTCTCATCATGACATCAAGAAAACCGAGGCCATATTTCCAAGCTCATTCTATTTATGTGTTGACTAGTTTTTCCCTAAAACACGTACTCCAAAATAGAGAATTTACCCATTTCTCTATTTGTTTAGGTTGTCAAGAAAGTCTTCAAAGCCTTGGCCTCGACCATCAGCCTCTGTATAGTAAGAAAATCCGACTTCAAGGCCTCTTCTTTGCGAAGTCATTTGCAATAGGAACAAAAGAGACTAAGTTCACGATTTGATAAAATGCTCTATGAGTAAGGTTCAAGAATTTACCTTGAGAGGCCATTATTTCATTGTTGACGAAGTGAATATTCTTCCTGATAAGCTT